CCGATAAAACGAACTACAAACATATTAACGCCAAACATTCGGTAGAATTTATAGAATATTGTATATATATATATATGTATATATATATATGTATATATATATATATATATATATATATATACGTGCGTGGTGTGCTGTATGTTAAACTAAACTTCAAAAATTTCGTTCAGAAGTTTTTAAAAATTTTTCTAATTTTTTTTGAATTATTTTAATTAATTTTGATATTGAATAACAGAGAAAATTAAGAGAAAGTTATTTATGTTATTTCTTCTGTTTATTTGTTTCTATTTCGCTATTTATTGAGAAATTTGATTTCGTAATTTTGATTGTTTATAACATTCATTATAATAGACATAAAATAGGTGATAGAGTTTATTGTGCTTGGTTCGTATGTGGACGGGTGAAGCGGTTTTTGTTAGTACAGATTTTGTTGCAATTACAGTTTGATTTTTGTCTTGTTTCATTGTTGCTTTAATAAATGTCGGCAAAGGATAAAACTAACAGGGTTGTTTTAAGAGACATGCTGCAATGTAAGTTATGTAATTCTACGTGTCAATGGAAAATTCCAAATATATCTGAATCAACATTTGAGGAAATTCAAGGAATAACAAATTTTTCGTGGCACTATAATGATTGTTTGACATTAAGGGGTGCAAATGTTGTAAATGAACTAGAGGATAAGTTAAATAATTTTAAATCAGATATTGATAATATGATCAAAAACGCATTTACATTTAAAATTGATAGTTTAAAATTAAATATTGAGGATTTATTGAATGATTACATTCTTACAATTGAAAGATATGGTTAATAATGTAGAGGAGGTTTTTAAGAGTAATGTGGTGCAGTTTAATAATAATATAGCAGCTTTAAAAAAAGATTTAAAATTTAGTTGGGTTGACATTGTTAAAGATGAAGTTAAATTGAACATTGATGTTCCAGTGTGGTCGCCGTGGAAGGTAGAGATGGTAGAGCATATTAAAAGGGTTCAAAAGAGAGCAACAAAAATTATAAGGGAATGCAGGGGACTAAACTATGAGGATAGGCTTAGATATTTTGGGTTGCCAACGTTGATGTACCGAAGAGTTAGAGGAGATCTGATTTTGTTGTTTAAAAAATTTCTTGACCTGAATGATCAAGATTGTTATCCTGAAATGTCTTTGTACTTAAATGAGAGAACAAGAGGACACGATAAAAAAAACTTAGAAATATCGTGTTCAAAGGTAACTTGCGAAAGCATTTTTTTACTTGTCAAATCATTCCTGTGTGGAATAAATTACCTGCCAGTATAGTGAACTGTGCCACTGTTGACAGATTTAAAAATTCTTTTGATGATTATTGGAAGAATGAAAGTTTAAATACAACTGGAGAGCGGAAGCGCCTAGATAAACATGCAATCCTCTAGAATGTATTCGTGTGTATTTGTGGGTGATGTGCAGATGTGTGTATAGCAATGTGTATGTGCTTATACGCTTTGTGTTGATGTATTCAATGGTTTAGTTATATAGGTAATGATAACGATATATATGATACACTTTCTATGTTAGGTGCACTTGTGTGGCTAGAGGTGCTGAGAATTGGTAGTGTAGCTTCCGACATGATAAGCACCGGTCAATTGTGAAGTTGTTGTTAATTGGGCGGGTGTGTTTGTTCTGTTTTATTTGTTTTTTGCACTTGAGACTTCATTATGTTAATAATTAGGTAAGAGAATGACCGTCTATAATTCTAAGATTTTGGCATAGATTCTCAACACCGGTAGGTGTTAAATTAACTAATTTGGAACTAACTACATTTATTTCTAATAGTTTTCAGGGTGAGGATCGACAAGGATGGTGTGGCTACTAGGCTTGTCTGCAGTGGACGATGTCATGAAGTTGGATTTTTGATGGCCGGGATGAAGTGACGGATGGTGGGATGGGAGAATTGGGGGTCATTGGCACCGGCGATGAGGACTATTGGATTGATAGCCAGATACATATTGCTTTTATATATATTCGATTATTTTGTTATCGATATGGTACTGTAGTTTACTTTTATTGCTGTTGTTATTATTATTGTATTTATTTTTTATTAGTTTTTTAATACTATTTCATATTATTATTGTTTTTTGGACATTTAAATTATTATCACATATTAGATATGAGCACATGGATTTTACTACGCTCATTATTAAATGTTATGTTATATATATATGTGTGTGTGTGCTGGTAAAAAAAACATAATTAATGCAGTAATTTGTGTAATCTACATAATTTCTAGCGTTGGATAGTTTTTTTATTACATTTCTCAATAATTCCAACCAAATTCTTGACATTATTTATTTTATTAAAGTTAGAATAATATCCAGTTTTCCAATTCATTCTCGAGATTTACCTATTTAGATTTCTCAATCATCTTCAGCACTTATTGCTATTTTATATAAAGAATTTGTATAACCCAGGCCTTTGTTCCTGTTATTAGCATTTGTTACCAGTGACTGTGTTAATTTTACTGTCTTCTTCACTAATTGATATGGTTTCTTTGTTCGAGCGTTAAAAACATAATTCCAAAGATTCTATTATCTTTAGTTCCTTGTATATATTTATAAATAGATATATGTGTGTGTGTGATTCAATGCATATAATTTTAAATAATATTATTAAGCAGGGTCGACGTTTTTTACTTAATACCTCTGGTCTTTAGTAATACACAATGGTCGCTAAGACACGTTTTCTTAGTGACCGGGCATTCCCGCCATTGTTGACAGTACGAGCAAGAAGCAGTGTGCAAATTAAGATAACCAATGCGCTGGGATCGGATGGACTGCCCGACGACATTTCGCTCAGGTACATTTCTTCCAGTGCAATAAAATGCAATGTGCTATTTCAAGACGTAACTCGTCCCACACTTCGAGAAGCAAGTAACCACGGTTTTCTTTCATCATTCATTCATCTCTTCCATATTGTTATTAAACAAATTTTTACTGATATCAACTATTAATTTACATTAACGTTGAGAAATTTTTTAATGAGCAAAATCCGAATTAAAAGCGACGAAAACCGGTCGTTTTTTGACGGTGAAAAATATGATAATCTACGTTCTATCTTATTATCAAGAGCTCTTTCGATAGTCTAGTGTCTGACGGCTTCTGGTATTGTCTACAGAGCGTGCTGCGACCAGGTTAGAACACAATAGGCCTCGCTCGCATAGATAGAACACGCTACATATGCGATGCGTTTATCACATTTTCATAAAATACAGTGTTGCTGATTCCTCCAAACTTGTGCACAGTAAATTTTTTAACATCGATGGAAGATATACAATGTTTTATAGATTTCAAAAATGGTGAGTAAAATGGATCAAATAACTCAGCTAGATGCAAATACCGTGATTTCTAAAATAAAGCTAGATACACACATGCAGAAGATGCAGTTAAGACAACAGAGAAAACAGTAAAATATAAATAAATATATATATAAATAAAACAAAAATAATACGAGACTTGTTTTAATTAACAAATATAACATAACGTGTTTTTGATAAATTCTTTCAGCGGGATATTCGTTTATACTTTTAAACCAAAAGAAATTTCAGAACCTATTCACCGGGCCAAAAACAAAAATAACAAATTAATGGTACCCATCTTAAAACTAACAGGCTTTAACGACGATCAGACAGAGGTTTCAATTTTATATGCACATTAATCATTACTTAAGAATCATGCACTTAACTGATAACTAATGCATTAATAACTTACAAAATGCCAGAACATTGCATTGGACACAACAGAAAGAGAAATGCTTCAATGTTTAAAAAAATCTGATAGCATAGAAACGGAGCATGAAAGCTTATCAACCAGACGAGACAGTCTCAAGGAACTGACCCTTCTTAATTCAAGCACTGAACTAACAAACCGAAACATTGCAATACAAGTCTGTAGTAAGTAATTAAGAAACGACATGTCTAAACATTTTCGTTCAATTTTTTACAGAATCAAAAGAAGCATAGTTATACAAAAGAAATGATTGAATTGGAAGATGGTTTCCAAACATTGATAAGCAGGTTAGTTACGAAAACTGCAACCTCATACAGATGATGTTAAATATGTCACATTCATGCGTTAACATTTTAAATATTAATATCAATTAACAATGCAGCTCTTTAAGCTTCAGATGTTTCTCTCTATTTTCAATTTTTAGTTAAAGGCTTGGGATACAAAACCTTATCTATCCAAGCAAGATAATCAAGTGTATCAGTCTAGGCAAAACACTTTCCTGAGAAAATTATACATTCCAGAAAATAAATGGGAAATTAACGCAAACACATGGCCAAGCATTTCCTGACTTTAAATTTGAGAAAAACGGAAGCATTGGCACTTTAGTTCATAAGAAAATAATAAAAATTAAAGTGCCAAATTTTTATTGCAAAAGCGTCTTTTATGCCATGTTCAAAAAAATGTTCCACTCTACTGTCTTTGAAGCCCTACAAAATTATATATTGCAGAAAATAGAATGGGAAATTAAAACAAAAACATGGCCAAGCATATCATGATTACATTGGTCACTATTCAGATTAAATTGATCTTACGAATGTAACCTTTAACACCACCAATGCATCTTAGCAAATATATTTCTATCTGAATTGTAAATACTTTTCACATATTTATATTTTTCAGCAATAGTGCTAATACAAAAAAGGAGGATGGAAAAAATGATAGAAGTATGTATGCAAATAAATTCTGCCAAAACTTGTAATACATTAACAAATTTTTTTACAGGTACCCTGAACTTAATTTATGACAAGGACTTAAACTTATTCTATGACCGTTCAACATGTAAATACTATGAGCTATCTAACCAGTGAAACCCTATTATTCCTATTAAAACAATTAAGTATCTCCAGAGTTGATGACTTCCAAACTTCGTGGCCATTCTTCACTTGTAACTGTAAAGTAGAAAACCAATGGGAGCATTGTTTTCACAATTCATTCTATAAAAAATGAAATTGTTTGGCCCATTATACAATTTACCACAATACAAAATTTAATTTTGTCAAACATTCGAGCTACATGTTAATTGAAATTTTAAAAATCTTACCATTTTTATTTGCTTTTGAATAATTGAATGACAACAAGAAGTATCTATACCACCTGTTAACTGTAAAAGTTCATGTTGTTTAATATCTAAAATAATTAAAATTAAAAAGATTGGCATTATCGAATAATCAATTGTCACTAAAAAATGAAAACATAAAAATGCAAAATACACATATTGTAAATTTGCTAATTGCAATTGTTCAACTTAACCGACCATAACTAATGTTCCATTTTTTGATGAACTTTGCAACATTCTGTTCACACTAAAGATTGTAATCTTTGATCTATGAAATAGCTACAGAATAAATAAAGAAAATAGTTCAATAAGTAAGTAACCAATAAATTAAATTTAACTACAGACATTTGTTCTCTAAACTCTTTCAGTTTTATCATCAAGGTTTCATTATTTTTGAGTTCAACTGTTTAGCTTCATTTGATTTTTTTTGAACTTTTGTGCTTCTGTGTTACATGCTGAACACAGTTCAAGTTGTACGACATTGTTAGCAACATGCAGACAAACGCCACAGCTCATGTCTGAAGTAGTTCCCTGTGTTTGTCTGCCTTGCATGCTTGCATTTAATAAAATTTCAGAGCTGTTAGATTCTGAGTCATCTACATTTTCGATGTCGATAACATCATCTTTGACAGAATCGTTAAAGTTCTCCTGTAACAGACCTGGAATATGCCTCAAAAGTGTGGATAATGTTGATTGATTTGTTATAACATTTTTTAAGTAATTAATTTCTTTTCTTAATGAAAATATTATTGCATCACTTTTAAAACATTTTTGCCGTAAAATTTTATTTTCATTTTTCAAATCATTGACTGTGTATGTGAGGCCCTCGATGAACTTTTTCTTTTTAGATCGATTTTCCCTGGCCAAAATAGCATTTTTCGACATACTCAACTCTTCATTCTTTTTTTTCCGACCTGTTGTAAATATTTTTCGATTTTCGTCATCATTTGATGAGGCGGGAGAGAGAGTGCCGTTCGGAACTGAGGTTCTGTAGACACCAATGGTGGACGGCAGCTCGGAATCTAGAAAATCAAGTTCACAAAAATCAAAGTCATCATTTTCATTATTTAACCAACTCTGCATATTATCCAGACACGATTCAACATTATAATTAACATTTGACATTATACTAACTTAAAAATCGCCAAAAACCAATAACACGCACAACATACGAATTCTATGCGTAAGAAGGATTGCTGTCGATAGGAAATAGAAATGTACCTGGTTTCATAGACAAAATATTTTTTAAATAACAAAGATGATTAAAAAATTTAAATCGTACAACACGCACGTTTACCAAAACTTGTATATTTTATGAAATAAAATTTTATTTGCAGACAACACACATTACACTTAATAATTGAATAGAAGCATTTGATCAGAATATTGACCCATAACCACACTCAGGATACCTAACACCCTTGGATATTATTAGTATATATGGTTACATCACAAGAATTACTCATTAGCCCAACGTAGTCGACATCCAAATTAAATGTTTATTTCAAACCCTGTTGAATTTAATGTATTAAGCAGTTATCAACCTAATTCAAGAAATTTAACTCTCAAAACAAACACTTCTTAAAATTCCTCATCTGGTGTACGTAAACAAAAATTTTAATAATTTATGATTTTCTCCTCATGGAAATAAACTGTTCAAATCGAGAAAAGAAATTAAAAACTCTTTAAAATAAAATTAACAGATATTTATTAAATTCAACTATTAAACAGTCATAAAACCATCACGTAGAGTTAAATAAAAAATAAAATATTAAATTAATTTTGGAGCGGATTTTTGAGAACGAGAATGACAGAATCCCCTCTAAGAAACATCTTTGAAATGTATCTATCCTTATTCACTGGCTTTGACTTCTTTTTGCCTTTACCAGTTTTAGGAACTTCGGTCCACATTTCTTTCACATTTTCCAAAACCATATTGCAGTGTCTAAGTATTAAAAACTTATATTTTAAAATAATAAGAAACAAGCTCGTTTTAGGGTTTGGATATCTTTTAAAATTATTACCCAATTCGCTTGTTCAAATACAAACCTAATATTTTTATCTTATTAAAAAACACATTAACAAAAAATAAAAGTAACAGAGAGTAATAAAATAAACTGCCACAAAGAACAAAATGTACCTATCAAAAGCTTTTACTCTTCCAAGGAGCTTCTTATTGTTTCTACAATTAATCAAAACTTGAGTGTTGTTCTTGACAGACAAAGTTAACACGGACAGAGGACCAGTGTTAAATTCCTCCTGCTCCTTCTGAGCCAGCTCCTCTGGTGTCATCTCACTTTTTGGCTTTTGAATGGTAGACCTGCAAAAAAAATTAAAAATTCAAAACATGAAATTTGTTTATGAAATATCCGTTTTTCTGTGGTACAATGTTTGATTGGTACTACATCGCTATCGTTAACACTGAGTCTATTGTTAAAAAAAATGCCTTTTATATTTGGGGAGGAACTAATCCTTAATAACTAAGTCACTGTTTAAAATTAAGATAATTTGGAACATAATTACTTAAAAAATTTCTATTTGATTAATTTTAGTATATTAGTAAATTTATATTATATTTTATGTTTATAATTTAAATTATTAAATGACTTGACATTTAATTCCTTTTTTCAATTTTAAATAAAATAAATTGTCAAATATAATAAATATATATTTTGTATTATGATTTAATAATGTATTGGTAATAAATAATTATAATTGTAAATGTTCATGAGAAATTTGAAAAAAGTTTCTAAAAAAATAGTTGTCTTAAATTTCTAAAAATGATTGGGCATTATTATTTGAATACTTTGCCATTTCTAATTGCATCGCATCATCTAATTTTAAAATGGCTACCCAACAGTTATTGGACTAAAGATGGTTGTTCTTGTTGAACGTTAAATTCTATAGAAGATGCTATAAGATGGGAGTAGGAGCATGGATGGTTGGCTGGGCATACAACATTTTGATGTGGCTCAAACATGTGCTTCATCAAATTCAAAAAAGCTGCTGACAGTTACGCATGAAGGTGTCTAAATCAAAACTGTTGTGCAGCAAAATCAACCAGGCAAGGTAGTTTCTACACCAAAGCACCTCTATTTATTAAATTTTATAACATTGTATTTTTTGTTGTGAGTTTAAGAAACTTGATTATATTGTGTTTGAGTATGTTTTTTGGCCTAAAAAATGTTTATAAATAAAAAATAAATAAATGTTTCACTAAATATAGCAAATTATATAAAATTTTTATAAATCAATTTATAAACCTGTAATCGTTTTTTTAAGTTAAAATATTTGGAACTTTTTAGTTAGTATTTTTAATTAATTCAAAGCATAATATTTTATTGCCCAATCGAACTTATTAAAAATTTAATCAACTTTATTAACAGCGTTAATAAAAATTTAAAATACCTTTTATTTTACATTTTTATATTTAGTTCACTATTAAAAAATGACATAATTCTTATTAGGCTCCTCACCAAACTTAAAAGCATTTTGCAAGCAATAGTGATGTGGTACCAAGTATTAATAATAATAATATAATATAATTAACATTCTACCTTTTTTGTTATGTTGTTTATATAAATTTGGTTTAATTTGTTTTCCGTCATTTTTTAAGATTTTTAAAGTAGAAAGTGCTCTTAACACGAAATTATCACCCACTGGCCACTAAAAAATTTTAAGTTTTCTGTTTAAGTCTAAAAAAATTGTCCGGTGGATGATAATTGCGGATTTAAATCACATTCTACTCCAAACTCACACCGAGAACGAAATTTTCAATTCATTTTACAAAATTAATCAAAAAAAGTTCTAACATGTTTTAGAAATCTGTAATGCTCCTTTTTCCGAACAATATTTTCGTATTACAAAAATTCGCGACGAACGTCCTAGTTTATAGCATAGAACAGAACAACATTCAAAAATTGTTCGACTCAAAAATACCAAACCATAGAAACTAAATTCGACATTCCAGGTATGAAATAAAAAGCGTGTAGCAGACTGTCGTTTTAGATCTATGATGGGATATGAAAACCGAATTATTTGTATGTAAATATTACATACAAAATCTAAAAGTCAACAATAAATTGAACATCGTGATCCCTATTACATCTCCATATTCTATTCTCAATGAGAAAACTGGCTACCTATAAACTAGATTCGAATTTTTAAAATTTGCACAAGTACAATTTTCACTCAACACAACTTTATTCCTCTGCATAAGATATTATAAAAACCTATTCCTAAACGCCCCTTCTCTACGATCATCCTTAATTTCTGTTATCATTCTAATCCTTAATCTGTTCCATGATTTCGCTGTTAATGATTAGCGCAATTTTTATTCAATTGAGCCAAAAACCAAATCATAATATTGTTTTTCTAATTTTCATTTGAATCATTACGAAATATTAATAATGTTACTTAGAAATGAAAACAATTACTCAAAAACTTGACTGGAGACTTATAAAAATATTTAACATCAAAACACTTTCAAACATATAAATTTTGATTAACGAGCAAAAACAAAATGAAAAATAATCACAATTTTTATGCATATTTACAATTTCTAAATAATTGTAATGATCTATTATTTCCCATTTACTATGAAAATTAATCAATATTTACATTACGCGCATGTACAAAACCAATTTTTGTGAGTTTATTCAGTTGAGCTAGCAGTTCATTGGCTATTCTGTAACTCCCGTTATCTACAAATTTATCAAAATACCTCATAAATTTCAAATTTACCACAAAATAAATTTACTGGGAAAAAATGTGAAGAACATGGAACCTTCTTGATGTTCATAATTATTTCGACAGTCCGTTCGCTGGTGATGCAGTTCCAACTCATCCAGTAAACGATGCATATTATGAAAAGTTTTTGATAGACTGGATTCACCTAATTGACCATCTACTTTGGTCTGTTCAATACAATTCATTAAAAAATAAATATATGTTTCTAAAAATTTCACAAAGATTATGCATCATACCAATACCTATTAGTAACGTCGTCATCAACGCCATTCGCAAAATAATTCTCATTTAAAACTTGAAAGGAAAATAACTACCTCGGTCAAATTTTGCAGATTTTTCAATTCAGCGACACAACTCGTCAGCTCTCAATTTACAAATCCATTATTATCCATCGACAATTTTCATATTTATCATTGGCTCGTTTTTATCAACAAACTTAACCTAACACAAATTCTACCGCCCAAATATGTTGATCGAGATACATGCAACGACCAATCTATTTCGAACTTAAAAATGTGTCGCTGATTTTCGCCTGTGACTTTACATTTTTATTTTAAACTTAACTTTATTGTTTTATTTTACAAATTTCATAAACTTGATATTATTTTTGAGTTGTGGGTTGAATGAATCAATATTTTTAAAAAGGTTGCAGAATGTCGGAGTCGGAAAATTTTGCAGGAGTCGGAATATCCTGAGGGGCCGTAGTTGTATTTTTCATCCTACTCCGACACCCAGATAGATAACGTTCTCTCATATAACTAAAAATTGAACAAAACGAGAATGGCGACTTACAGTTCCGTCTAGAAAGCTGTTTGAAGTGCAACTGCCATCTTCACTTCCACTCATCTAACGAACGTGGTGATAAAATGCATTGTATGATATAGTGATGGCAATCTAACAAATGTATTAAAAATTCGACTACAAATTTAACACAACCGTAAACAACCCATTTAGATATTGAAAGTAATTTTATCACAAATTCATAATTTTAAAGTGATGACATTTTAGAATACCAAAGATAAAGCTTTATATAGATAGCAACCGTGATAAACAACTGTTGAGCAAGACACTTGGTTTCATTCAATTCCTTCAAAACTTCATCGTGCACATACAACAAGTTATTATGTTCTTGTGACAAGTTGGCAAGTGCATATATCAAATCTCTTTGTTGAGTCTCATCACCTAGTCAATATAATAAATAATTCTAACGCCAATGAAATTCAATCATAAAAATAAAACTTTCTAAACCATTTTGTTTTTGCAAGTTATCAGAAGAATCTTTTGAAATTGACTGTGGAGTTCTGTAAATAAATTATATTTGGATGATATAACATTACCCATTATAACGACAATCACACCATAAAACCAATAATTAATTTTAGCGAACGTTGTCCATTCCCACTAGACCAAACTGGTAGAAAATGCAAGAAAAAAAATGTAACCATCTATTAATACTTAGAACAAATATGAAAAGGTAGCTTTCGAACACAAGAGCATTTGTTGTTAAGAACAATTAGATTGCTTTGTAATTAATTTTTTCAAATTTTATAAACATTAGGTAAAATATCAATAGTTTACACACCGTAAAAACATCAATTTGAAGAAAATTATGGGATGTACTGATTTTTTTTCAATTAATTTCCAATCCAACATCAATGCATTGTATGATATAGTGATAATTTATTTCCTAATTTTAAAAAATATTTTTAGATTTAAGATTTTTAACGCTATTACACTAAAATGAATTAACTAAACCTAAGGTTTTTTCATTTATTATAACGAAAAATGTTTCGAATAAAACCTCCAGTTATTATCTATGAATGATGGTCTGCTAGGTTTCTTGATGACAGTCGAGGCATGCTCATGAGCTTCTGCCAGTGCTGTAGAGGCCGACTGAATAATGGAAGGTTATTAAAAATTCATTTACAAGATTTGCACTGTAGAGACAAACAAGTAAAAAAGTTAATGTAAGTGTGGAAAAATAGAACTGGGTCTAAACAGATTGTCCTCATGATCGAAGTTTTATAAATAGTTATTATTTTGATTTTAGATTATTTTACTATTATTAATATTATTATTATTATTACTATTATTACTAATAATGATGTCACTTAATATAGCGCCCTGGCAGAATATGGTTAGTTAAACATTGAAAAGCTTTTTTAAAATAAAAAGAATTTAATGATTAATCCGGAAACTTTTAGACTCTGATGATTCACTAAACTATACTTTAGTGGAGACCGTAATATAATATTTCCATTTTAAGAAACAATAATCCTTGGTGAAAATATTTTTTTTTGATAATAATGAGAAAACATTAAAGACAAACAAACATGTGCATATCCAGCGGTTGGCATTCTGTGGGAATGTGAAGGTCGAACTGCATTCGGTTTATAATAGGCAGCCAACGCAAGAACAAGTCTCATGATGGATTTCAGGTCTCCAGACACTATGTCTGCTCAAAAAACAATACTTTCATGAGTAGAAATATTTCAAGCTTTCAAAATACTAAAAAGTTGAACATTTTAATTGCTTTTGTGACTAACATTAATTTCTAATTTCATGCTCACAGCAAATATAATCCTGAAAAAACTACAGAAATAAATTTGAAATAAATGATTAAAACCTTGTGGATTGATACTATGCATAGGTATTTTAGTAGATTTCATAAAGTGCAAGACAAGATGCACGTTGTGTAATTTGTTTTCGTTAACTTCAGTCTCAAATCTGCATCCTTCCAATTCTACACCCGCTAACATAAGTTATCAATGTTAATTATGAAAAAATACTGAAACTTTAATTTTACAATACAAAGTTCTATTTTCACAAATAAAAACAGTAAAAAAAACTAAATTTGTGTCGATAATTAAAATAAGTATGTTGAGAGGACGGCATTGAATTAGTTGAAAATTGATAGCCAACAATTTTAAATTAGTGTTAAGGATAACATCTGGCTGTAATATAAAAATAATAAGATAAGATACATAAGATACATGAACACAAAAAAAAAATTTAGATTTACGAAAAAATTAATTTAATGAATCTCATGATTTGCATAAGAACATGGGTGATATTAAAATAAATATCATTGAGATGAATGTTAGTGAGATAAACACCATTTAGATATTAAACATTTAGAGGTGGAGAAATAATAAAATGTTGAAAATTTGATGAACAAAAATTTGAATAGAAAGTTAATGATTTCATCTTCGATGATATCGTTCCAAATCAGACTTCAAATTTATATTTAAAAGACATTTAGTCATGCTTTAATAAAATAGCAAGATTTATAGGCCAGAATTTTATTGCTTAATTATAAATAAAAAAAAGCTTTGCATAAATTGAAAAAAAAATTCTAGTTCTTCTGCCTACCAACAATCCTAATAAGTTGTGCAAATACAATTCCATCACATAAGTCTTTTGTGAGGTCTTCAACCAGTTTTGTGTCTGATCTTTTTTTCAATTGACAGTTGATCCAAGTGATGTACTCACTGCATTGTCTCTGTTTGAATTTATTTCAAGCACATTTAAAACATTTAAACAAAATAAGAATTGGAATTGCATGTACACATTGTATGACTATACTATATCCTTAGATACAGATACAAATATTTGATTGATTGAATGATACTTGGGAAAAGCTAGCAAACGTTCATTAACAAGCTATTTTGGGAAATTAAAAAGTATAGTAAATTAAATGTTATCATAAAATAATAAAAATCTTATGTTTATAATTATAATGATATTTAATTATTTAGTAATAATTGTGAGTTGGTTAGTGTCAGGGGTTAGGGAAGGTTTGCTGACTTTAGTTTAGAGTTTTAGGCAAGTTGAATAATGGAGAACATGGAGATGGAATGGCAATGGAAGGACTAAACTAAAAATTAAAAACTTAACTTTTAATTAAATACTAAAGTTTGTTAATTAAATAAAAATATAAAATAAAGTAAATTAGTAAAGAAAGGTGAAAAGAAAAAAGCTTAATAAATTTTCAACAGTTAATAAAAATGGTTAATGAAAACCTTAGATGTGTTATTTCTGTTACCATTATTCATAACGTTGAATAGAAATTTTTGGGTAGATATGCCACAAATAAATCGACATTAAATAAGAAAAAAATCAATACATTAAAACTAAAGTACCCGCTTGCTAAAAGTGAATGTCGTAGATAATTCTCAAAAATGACTTGCAGCTTCATTTGTACAATTTATACGAAACTATATACTAAACACTCGCTTTCTATTACTTTTATCAACATTTCTCCTGATTTTCAAACTTCAATCTCAGTTTAGGTTTTATTTTTAATTCTAACATGACTTTTTAACAGTGTTACTAACAATTTTCACTTCACTAACAATTTTCACGAACTTATGCGTTTCTTTTGATGTTTCTATTCCTTCCTTACCTGTTGTTTCATTATCTTTAACCAGAATACATTGATTGATTGATTGATAATAATGTATCGATATATATTTTTGGCATCTTTCCATCTTCTAAAATATAAATATATATTTGTCAAATGTAATTTTATATGAATAGAAAATGAGCTCCTGTTGTGAGGATGTACCAAATAGTTTTGTCACAGACTTACAGAACTTAAGTAGGATACATTTTTTATTGTGTAAAGGTTGTTCTGTTTTTCAAGCTTCACAACGTGATGGAATCATTATGGTTAGTTATGAAAAATTGAAGCCTGTTAATTATGACCAACAATAAAGTTATCGTATCGCATGTTGGTATAATTAAAAATAAAATTGTAGACAACAATCAAAATTTGTCAGATAAAATTGTTTAAGTGCAATAATAAAACTACTCTATCTAATGTAGATATAATCGCACAAATAACAGTGAAAAAATAATAGGTTGTTTGTTGACAATCGTGATACCTGTCCTATTTTTCATCGAGCAATGTTGGACTCAATAGATACACTCGTTATTTTTGTCTTATTTGGTTGCGCTTTTAAAGATAGCACTATACAATTTCAAAAGGTTGGTATATCGGTGATTAAAGATAGAAATTATTGACTTGACGGATTCACGATTTTCCTGTAGTCACAAGGACACTCACTCGCAGGAGACTTGACATTCCCTCACAACATGGCAAAGCAGTACTTTTTCATCCGGATTCGGCGGAAGCATAAACAGTTGCTAAAAATGTTGCCGACCAAATATTAGCAAAAGACGATTTTCTAAAATGACGAGTCCACAACGTTTTCACTTATTTGCATTGAACCCATTAGCTCCACTCACTGACAAACTTACGCAATGTTTTTTTTTATAAAAATTTAATAAGGAATGTTATCAAAACAACAGGGAACCAGCACAAAAAATACATCTCTATTTTATTATAAAAATCTAACGCATTCTATATTTTACAAGTAGGTAAACGTAAAGAATATTTTGGAAACAAAATTTGATAAATAGCAATGGGTCTAACACAAATATTCACATACACACTCGCGCACGACGTATATACAATATATATATATATATATATATATATATAAATATTTTTTATATGTGTGTGTGTGTTTATATTTACGAATGTTTGTGTGTATTGTGTATATACCTTAGATCATATAATTTCATAACTTTTGTAACACTAAACTCTTCGCAATTTTTTTTAAATTTTAATAATATTCTGATATGATATAACTCACTTTATTTTTTGCCGGTAATTTTGACAACAGATGTTGATATTTGAAAGTATTCATTACATTCCAGCCACCAAACCCCGGTGGGAAACAGTTGTTATAAATGATTCCTCCAAAGGTTTCATCCATCTTTAACCATGACAACAAATTCTTTTATCTAACTGTAAGTGTAAATTAATTATAATATAGTTATCGTAAACCACAACGAAAAAGTGGTAAAAATTATTAGCACGCTAGTCCTACGTGCAGTGAGCCAGCAGATAAAGCATATTAAATAATTAATAGATATAAAACTATATGTAAACGAAGTACATTAGAAAATTGTAGCTGCAATCAATGATATTGATCTGAGTAGGCAAGCAAAAATCAACAAGAATGAACACATTTTTGAGCGTGTAATCACTTACCTTAGGCTAGTGCATTACCTACTCTACATGTATCAGCATATGTACACTTGTTCTTGCGAGTGTGTGAGTGAATGTAATGGGTAATTATTTTACGAATTTTAGTAGTATAATATCTACATATATATTTAAAATAAATATCAGCACCAATTATATAATATCATAGATTGCTTTTTATTCCAATCTATTAACCAAAAACGGCATATTAATACTTAAATAGAACATCTTACTTTTTAGAGTTTTTAAATTTTTTAAAGACACCGTTAAAATTCTGCATGTCTGATGGTACTGGGAAAAATATTGCTGAACAACTACATGTTAAAATCTACTAGATAACTTAAGTCATGATTTTGCCTTTGATTTTATAGGCGCTGTTGTCGGTTTTTTAAATTTAATGTGTTTCTGGTAGAGTAAAATGTTTCGCTAATGTTTATACTTTTGATATTGAAGAAGATAGTTTACAAATATCGATGTTTTATTACATTTTTTTCAATTAATTATCCAAACACTTTTCTATTTTTTGAATCACCTTCAACCCAGTCTATCCGAGGATACAAAACCAGATTAGAAAGTATTGAAGTCGCCATGTTTATCCCGACGCCAAAATAGACGCCAATCAAGACATTAATTGCATAATACTCTTGTGTTATGATCAACAACTGCATTCAATCGTCAATAATGCCTAGATCAGAGTGGCAACAGCGATACTAACATCAGACGTGAAATTCTCAGAACCCGCTTTAAACATCATTTTCTTACCAAAACTATGAAGATAACTTAACAGATGCTCTACATGTCTTCAAAACAATACAACTGATAAAGTTAGATACATTGGATGTTCTACCGTGTATGACTCTAAAGACCTGATTTCAACCATTAATTAACTGATTCCAATGTTTTTACAGCATTCCACATCATTTTTTCCTTCCCACGTGTTCAATATAAACCAGCCAAACTAACTCTTTATGTGCCATATTAGACTTCTAGCTCAAGCCATATTAGACTTCTAGCTCAAGCCATATTAGACTTCTAGCTCAAGCCATATTAGACTTCTAGCTCAACTGGCTTCCCATTCATAAACGCATAACTTTCAAACATTTCATTATGAGATGTACAATTCCTTCTACAGGTGAATAACTTTTTGGAGAAATAAATGGAAATAAGGTTATTGTTAGCACGCATAGATATAGAAAACTAGTTTTCTAATCCACGCATAGATATAAAAAAATTAGTTTTTTTATATTTAAAAAAATGTTTTCAGATAAGTCAAAAAATGCAAAATAATTTATATCAGCTAAATAACACAATTGAATTTTGCATGGACAATTCGTTATATTATACTATAAAAAAACTAACAAATTGGACACATTCAACTAAACAATTAATGGCTTCATTTTTTAAAACTGAAATTAACATTACTAGCAAAAATTCTGTCTTTACGGGGCAAATTTTCAAGTAAATTTACAATTTCTGAAAACACTTTATTTGGACTCTGACTGGCATCAACATGTCTGTGCAAATCTCTTTTTCCATAATAATCTATCAAAGGAGTTGTTTGTTTGTGATAATTATCCAATCTTTTTTTTAGAGCTTCAGGATTATCATCTGATCTATGAACCAGAGGCTCTCCAGTGATCTGCCAAAAAATGGTCAATAACATAATGACACTCATCACTGAAACTACGCTTGTATTTGCTATATTATAAAAATATGCATTTAAAGAAACTGTATAAATTTTACAATAAAAAATTATATATTTAATGAGGTGCATTTATTGTGGTTTTGTATAAATCTAAACATAAAATGTTTTAACTCAATAGAATTGGTTGAAAATATCAACAAAACTTTGAACAGTTTGACAGACTGATCATGTTTAAAATCCATGGTAACGACAGCGGACCCATAATTTCAAATTGAATATGATAAAATAAAATTCGAAACTAACGTCATCTTTCATTGGTACTTTAGGAGGGTTGAACTCAGTATGATAAGACCTTCCACTTTTTAGATGGATTAATCTTCCAGTAATTCGCTTTACCAATAAATCATCATCAATTCTGAATTCTATAACAGCATTCAGTATTTGATTTCTTCTTTGCAAAAGTTGGTCAAGCTGTACAAAAATTAATAACAAAGTAGCTGAACAAAAATTAAAAATAAAAAAATAAAATAACTAAACCTTTTCCGCTTGCAAAACGGTTCTGGGGAAGCCATCAAGAAGAAATCCATTCTTGCACTCTGGCTTATTAAGATTATCATCAATCAATTCAACAACTAGATCATCAGATACCAGGTTACCGTCATCCATCACCTTTTTAACTCGTTTACCAAGATCAGAACCAGATGCAACTACTGCTCTCAGCATATCTCCTTCAAAATTATTTCAATGACAATTTATTTTTGCTGTTATTGACAGTGTAAGCGATTGACAATCAACAAGAAAATGAATAAATAAATTATATAAACACATAAAATTATATAAAATATATACACATACATAAGAAAGAGATATTTCAAAATTAGGTAATTTAATATATCATAAGGATAATATCATAATAATAAATATAAAATAAGGACATCATAATCAATGATAAAAGATAATCAATGAATTACCTGTTGACAAATGACAAGAGCAAAATTTCTCAGAAAGTTTTGGAGCCTAAGAATAAAAAATGACACATATTTGGAAAAATATATTACTAAATACTAAATTAAATAATTTTTTTTTAAATATTAAAATGAACTAAAAAAAACGAATTAGCTTCATTATTTTTAATAAATTAATTATATAATATTAATTATATATTAAGGTAATTCAGTTCAGATGCAATATCAATCACCATATACAAAATTATTAAAATAATTAAAATATTTTTAAAGGAGGTCCTGCAAACGCCCAAATTAATGGGATCAGCGGTGTCTCCTCAATTAAATTTTAAACTGACTGCTATAATTATAATATAATTATAATATAATGATCAAATTATTATCTAATAAACATTAGCAAGAAGCTTTATCCTTTAGTTTAGGGGGTTAGGAAGCTTTTTTGGGTTTATTTAGCTTTAGCTGGGCAACAAAACAACTTACTTAAATGATAAATGTTATAATTAAATTAAATATTTAAATTTAATTAAAAAAGAAAGAAATGTTTTAAAATTGTAAAAAACTAAAATGGTAAAGTAAAAAAAATCAAAATGAATTAGTAACCTGCGTTCCTTTGCCACTTCCTGGAGGTCCCAGTAAAATAGCATTTACTCCCGTTTCCTTTTTCTTAAAGAAAGAAAACAAACCCATCTTCGACCAACCAAATTGAAAAAAAGAAGAAAAAAAATCGTCAAATCCGGAGTCGACGACAGAACGTCAGCACACACACCTAGAGCCGGGTTGGAACTTGTTTCAATTGACGACTACTCTGTATTCGAGTATTAAAATCCCCAACAAAATATGAAGCAGGGAGAAATTTTAATTAAGAAATTGAACTATAAAAATTAAATTTTATAAGTGAGTATACGGGTGCAGTGTTCGTCTCATATGTTTAGAATATTAGAACAGGCTTTTTTAATACATTGAAATTTGGCTATAAGTTAAAAAAGTTATTAGGTGTGTGTTTCATGCAAACACTTGAAATAATGAGAATGACAATTGGATACATAAGATGCCAAATGCTTTATTGCCGTTCAGAGTCTTTAAAATGACTTAAAAAAGGCATGTGAAAAATTGAGTGTTTGTGTGCGTGTTTTTTGTGTAGGCAAATTCAGGCAGAATGCTTTTGTTAATGCATATTATTAAACTCTTGATATATCTACTATAGTAAAACCAATTAAAAATAACAAAATTGCCATCACAGTGTAACGCTTTTTTAAGTTCTTTCATTAGTTTTTAATACTTTCGGCTTTCACGCCACGCTGTCCTTGACCGTGACCGCATGCAAATATTGTCCAAAACCGTTTTTTGGCGGTCACTTTTGTCCTGGAACAGCCTCTCCACAACTGTCGGCAGCCTACAAGTTTTTTCAGCGTTTATTGTTTCAATCAATAGAGCCAAATTTCAGTTTTTGCTATGTTTATTAAGCAGTAAAAACAATTTGAAAAATTAAAATAGTAAGAACTACAACTTTATACAGAAAAATTGACTATATCATAAAAGCAAAAGTAGAAATCTTAACACTAGATAACAGTGTTTAACATTGTTTAACATTAACATTTTAATATTTAACATAAACATCGGTTAATTTAACATTAATTTAACATTAGCATCGGTCGGAGCAATGCGATAATAAAAGTTTCAAATTCAACGGTTTTTTAGCTTTGAAAATAAAAAAAACACAATTTTTTTATATGCGTGTAAGCACAAATTGTTTTAACATCACAGTTAGGGATAATCAATTTACAGACCTTTTTCAAAATGATTTGCTTTCTTATGTTCCAACGTTTTAATAAACTTTACCTTTTATGTTTACTATTATTGCACAAATACCTGCTTGAGTCATTTTCGATTTGATAGTTGAAAAACTCAACACTGGATGGACAGTCTCTACTACGATCTGCGACGATTTTGTATGTACTATACATATTTTTTGTTTATTTTTCGTTTTAATTATAAGCAACAAAAGACCAATTTTCAAACTTGGAATGACCATTGAGTGGAAATGTAACAACCTCAACGATTACTTTTTTAGGCGAATGGTGGAAAGCAAAGAAATAGCCACTAAGTTTAAAAAAGAATAAATACAACCACTGGGTGAATAACAGTCTAGATTTACTTAATATTTGTTATATGTATTAAACTAAAAATTATACTTTTAGTTTAATTTCGTTTATTTTGAATTTTGAGTTTTTTTGCAGTTATTTCGTTATAGTTTTCGAAAGTTTTCAACATTCACCACAAATTTTCGTTCGTTTTTTGGAACGTTTTTTTTGTTGTTGCTACTCTCGTCATAGTGTTCGTTTCGTTGTTAACGAAATTTGACTATCATCGGTAATAGAAAAATTAAAAAATTATACATTCAGCTGACGGTTGTTATGTTTAGTAAGTACACTCTGCTGTTTGAGCATTGAATGACTTAAAAACACAGCAGCAAATCGCAAATTTTTTAAAATCTAGGATCCGCTGTGAATGACTTAAGGATTGGAGAAGATGTAGGTGAAGCTTTTCTTTTATTGCTATAATGAATTAATTAATCTATTGGGAACTCAAATGTTTGTCTAAAATTATTTTGATTTCATCAAATTGTAATTTTGTAAAAATAAACAAATAAAAAAACTAAGAATACTGAATCACAATAAAAATTGTCACTGGAGTAGTCGGTCGAAGTCAGTGTCTGGCAAGTTTTGAACCTACGCCAACATCCGGCCATCGCAGCATTTCAAGATGCAGGCAGGTGTCACATGAAAAGCAAAAATCGCCAAAAAGTCCAGTTGTGTAAAAATGTAAAAATCCGATTATTCCAAATAAAAATTATCAATTTTTTGAATGTTTGTCCCGCGTAAAAAAAATTGTTTTTTCAGTATACTAATTCGCCTCTCCCTAAGTTTTGATTAATATTTATTTTAAGTATCTTATATCTCAAAATATAAATTGTGTGTGTATGTATGTACATGTGTGTGTATATATATATATATATATATATATATATTATATATATATATATATATATATATATATATATATATATATTGTTATTCGCATGCATGTGGGCGCGTGTTTACCGGAGTGTATGTGTATGTACGTGTGATCATAATCGCTTTGAAGTCGTCATTAAATTTATTTTCATTATCAGTCACAACATGTCATTCGCTACTTCGCTGTCCAATCAGGTGTCCCAACAGGGCGTTAACATTGAATCTTTCCTCCAATACCGTTATTTATTTCTCTATAAAACACTTTTCATCCTGCGATTAACAGAATTGTATCTTTAAGTTTTTAAGTTTGTCTGTACGATTTATTTTACAAGCAATTTATAACCATTTTACTTTATTAAAATTATAAATTAAACATAAATGATGCTTTCAAATGTGACCAGTGGTTTGGATGAAGAAAATATTACTTTAAATGCAAAGAAAGATAAAACAAATAGTGACAGTGATAGAACTCCTTGGAAACTTTTTTCAAAATTTTCTATCACTGAAATTCTCAATGATGAAAAAGTTAGCAGAACAATATACGACAATTTTTCTGACAATCCGACTTTGTTGGACACTAAGGATAGTTTAAAGAAAACTATTCATGATTTTAAAACAGCAAAAACTGGCAACGTCATAACAAATTTCGATGATATCATTAATGGCAAGAGAACACGTTGCAATAAAGATTTCAACACATGCTTAGAATATGAGAAATCAAAAAATTATGAACTGACAGCGTTACAACAACAATGGCTTTTCTGGTACCGACACCACATTCAGTTTTACTCAAAACAAAAAAGGGAATTAGAAATATTAAAAGGTCTTTTGTTTTTGAAATTTGTTGAAATAATTTGACTTTTATGCAATTTATGCAATCACATTTAAAAAAGGAAGCACATTGTATAAAACATTTATTTAAAGTAATTATGACTGTTAATTTTGTTGGGTTGTTTTGTTACAAATTTAAATTGAGATCAGGATTAATTTATTTTGTTATTCATAACCAAAATGCTTGTTTATACTGGTAAAGTTAATAATGTAAATCATGTGAGTGACGTTAAATAAATTATATTTAGTAGATTGTTCTAAAGAAGAAAATTATATCATTGACAAGTTGAATAAAGATTTTGAAACTGAAGAAAGCTCGGTCTTTCAAGACAACGACATAAGAAGTTTTGAACGAAATGATGTTTTAGAAAAAAAATTGAATGACTTTTCTATAGAAGCACTAACACCATCAGACAATCAAATGTTTGCATCCAACGATGAAAATATTCACGAACTGAACAACATCAGTGACAATGAAGATATAAATATCATACTACATTCGTCAAATTCGTCGATTCGTAAGAAGAAAACTAGAACGGTGTTTTCGAGAAATCAAGTTTTTCAACTGGAATCAACTTTTGACAGGAAACGTTATCTATCAAGCACTGAACGTTCGAACCTTGCGTCGTCACTGCGGTTGACTGAAACTCAAGTTAGTTTCTATCATATGGATCATTCAATCACGTCATTTAGATTATTTTAAATAATTCGTTTAAAACAGATCATTTAATTAGAACATTCAAATAGATTATTAAAAACCTGGTTTTATTTCTGGTAACTATTTACTGTTCTAGGTAAAAATTTGGTTTCAAAATCGACGAAATAAATGGAAACGACAGTTGGCAGCTGACATGGAAACTGCAGTTGCAGTTGCAGCTAGTGTGGCGAACAATTTGGTTTCTAAAAAATGTTTTTCTTTTCAACAAAGCCTCCAGCCATTTCATAACAGACATTCAACAAATGTATTTCAACCTCCAATTTCTTTCAATAACGGCAACAAAAGCAACAAATTTGATATTGGCACATTAACCTCAAGCGCCGGAGACGATAATAAATTTAAATGCGGTGGAGACAACACCAACAAGGTAGCATATATTTTTCATCAATTCCATCCATCATGTTTATGTATGTTCACAATTACAAATAAAACATTCAACTCTACAATCGCTAATGAACCTTACGTTAATCACAATTTTTAAAATATTGTACAGAACTTCACAGAGAAGAATGCAATAAGCGAAGCAAGCATTGATGCTCATTACGACATCTTTCATTCTACAGGATCTAATTTCTCGCATATCTATTCAAATGTCTTTCAAGCACAGCTTTATAAGCTTTCATCACCTTTATTGAAACAGTCAAACCCTCAATCGAACACATCAAGTGACAACGAATGAAATCTTGCGTCGCATTAGGGCTATCCTCATGAATTAATCATTAATCATTAAAGCATTAATCATTTTAGTCAACAACTCTGCAATAATTTATGATTAAATTGAAACACTCAAGTTCCTAAGCAAAAATTATATTTTTGAAATAAATTTATTTGCCGAATGTCGTTAAGTTTGTTATTTCTTCAGCATGCTCCAATAGATGATAATATGCATAAATAAATAAATTTAAAAATACAAATTATATATATATATATATATATGAAATCTACCGAATTGTTGGCATTGGAATGAAATCATATTTTGTACAGACAGTATTCCTCACATCAAGAGTTGGTCTCCTTCCAGCATGTATATATGAATATACATTGTATATTCTTATATATAATCAGTTATTATTGGGGAGATTTTTACCGTTCCTTTTCATAAAATCTCAAAGGCACAGCTATAAAAGAAAATGTTAAATCATTGTGTAAAATGAAATATATTTAAACATTTTTTGAACCAAAAAAGAGAGCACAGAAGCCAGCAGGCAAACTTTTCCAAGTAAACAGTGTTAGTAATTGTTTTCATTAACTGTATTGCTACTTTTTCAAACGCAATTAAGATCAAGTCTAATTATTCTTTGTTTAGAATTTAATGTCAAAAAGAAAAAAGGTTTAATTTCAAACACGAAATGTTTAAATCATGTAAAACTTAAACACAAAAACTAGCTTTTACTTGATATTATAAAAACATTTCATTTAAAACATTTTGTAAATCACTCAATATTCCTTTTTAAACTTTTGACGTGAGAAATTGTTGTTGAGGTGGTGTCTACAATTTTGTTATTTTCCGTTACCATCTTTAGCCATATTTGTTGATTTTACAGTACTCAACCCAGTTCATTCACTCCTGTCACTAATTTTGTGACAGGCTTCCAACATTTCTTCTAATTTATCTTTCTCATCAGTATGTCTTTTGACATTTTGTCATCGAGTTAGCTCAGTCGGTATAAGTGCCATGTCTCCCGCTGCTATTACGCGTTGACATGGTTCGTAGACTGTCTGTCCGAAATTCAAAGACTATCATACGCATATGATGCGGTGCTTGCGCGTGCATACGTAATATGTATGTGCGTTGTGTGGCTGTGGACAGTTCCACTTTTGTGGTCCGAAAGTATAGAATAATATTTAGGCAGCTCTGCTTTTGATGGACCTACATAATGACAAAAAAAGCAATTTGTTCAGAGATCTTCGTTTTTAATTTACAACTTTTGGTATACACCTTATTTATTGAATTTGTGTTGTAATTTTGTAGCAATGCATTCATTCATTTCTTTTTTGGCTTCTTTTTTTAACGCATCATAATGTTGCAGAATATAAATCTCATCTTTCGTGAAACGTAAAAAGCAAAGCCAAGTGTATGAAAAAGCTGTTGAACAGAATGAATAGAAAGGAATAAACCCAACAAACTGGTTTAAATTAAACAAGTCAAAATGATCTCAAAAATAACTTGCCTTAAGGCTTTAACTGACCATAATGTACGACGAGGTCTTCCTACTATGTGTGACAAGATACCGTAACATAGTGCGGTCAGGCAAATATTTTACAATTACTGACTTTATAGAGAAATCATTATTTTGAAATTGTTTAAAGTAAAACAAATAATAAAAATGCAATAATAATCTTATGCAAAAAAAATTAAAATTTTTTAACTGTAACAAAACCTGTTTCATGTTCATTCAGAGTGCGCTCAAAAGCATGTTGCAGACTGAGTGAAGTATGCTGAACCGCTATCTCGTTACGTAATTATTTCTACCTTAGTTCTTCTTTTCAATAAGTCGCCACGACCCTTGAAACTTCACATTCATCCATCCATCCAGTCATCCATTCATTCATCCATTAATCCATCCATAGTTCCATCCATTCATCCATTGCTTTGTACACTTTTTATTCATTGCGTTCGTTCGCTCAATGAAATAATATTTTGTATCGCTTATATTTTTAAGAATTAGATAAGATTGAGTATTTATTGAGTTCAGAATTTTAATCACCACACCATATTTCAGAGTCGCATGTTCATGACAAAGATTTTTTATTTTTTTTTATTTTATAATATGACAAAATTAAATATATAAACCTGCAACTTAGATTTTATTTTTATAAAATTAGACAAATGTTAGCATTTCCAACATCAACTGGTTCCGTTGTGTTTGAAACTGCAAATGAGATCAAAAAATTTGTAATTTCAAGTGATGCAATTTTCATTTTATTGAAATTTGATGACTGCTTTTGAACTTTGTCTGTTACTCGTCTTTTTAATGAGAATGTTTAAGGCTCTTTGTATTCTCTATTTCAATATAACATTGAACTTAAAAAATCGGAAAAAAAACTTTTTATTGAATTAAATTTTAAAATTTAAACAAAACCTTGTAATTTGATCCTAAAAAATTATTTAATGTCATAAGCTTATAATTATTTTTAAAACGCGGTAACATTCAACGGAGTATTAGGGGGCCAGGACAAAGACATCACTTTCCATATAATTTTCAACAGATAACGACAGGACGAAAATGTTAAACCTGTCAAGGCAGGCAACACGCATATATACAATTGGACATACGCTCAAATTCCGTTGTTCGCTGGAATGGCCGGTTGGTGGTGTAGACGTGTCAATGTGCAAGCGGATGGATGCACAACATTGGCACGGTCGCATTGGCCTATTGGGCAGAGCAGTAAAAATTATTTCGTTCGTGACGATTATTTTAAGCAACAAACTTGAATATGTTAATCTTTAAAAAAACTTTTTCTGTTACTTTTTCAGGAACCAAATAGTTTTTGGGGTCTTTTTAAAAATTTAACAATATCTTTAGTTTAATAGTTTAATGCAAATGAAAACATTCTTGTCACGGAATCATTGTTGAAACAATTTATTTTAAAACATTCTTCAATCATTCCCAGGCAGCAATCAAATTTTGTGCTATGTTTTTCTCTGAGTGCAAGTCACTTGTATGGATCAATTTGTGATTTATCCGCGTTTATTAATTTCTACAAATACTGAAATATAGTTTCTGCAGCGTAGCAGGTTGATCGAATGTATCTCAGCACATCACCTCACCACACTACACTACACCCCACCACACCGAATTTGGTCTTGTTGGTAGTGTTCCTTCGGACAGCAGAACTTTAAAAAAACATGTTAAAAGTAAGCTACGTGCCGAGTTTAGCAGTATTTAGTATCAAAATTCAAACAAATTTTTTTGTTTCCTAGGTTAAAATAATTTTTGAAGAAAATTTTGCGCTTGGTTCTTACAGATATGTGATGGATTCATGGATATAATATATATTATTATATCCATGGATGAATCGCATAGCAGTATTGCGTGTGCGTGTGTGTGTGTCGATCTGCAGGTGAGCATTTCATGTTTTACGCACGCGTATTCATATTTGCACAAATGAGCTCACACTTTTCAAACACATTACAATTTTTCAAACAACCCTGGCTATACTACATTATATTTTTGCACGTTTTTCTAGGTAATTTTTTATAATGTAATTTAGTGTTGGTGTTTATTTGGGTGATGCGTTATAGCGAATAATTAATTATGCGAGTTTCCACCAAATTGCCAGTAATTTACGACCACAAGTCATTATCAATTTATCGCCAATTTATTTCAAAAGTTTTTAAAACGTGCTTTAAAAATAGATCTGAGAGGATATGATAAATAAAGAATATTACAGTCAACATAATAAAATTTGTAAAGTCTCATCAATGCTATGAACATCTTTTTTGTTTTTCACGCGTCAATTTATTTTGCCGAAATACATTTATTGATATTAAATCCACTCAGGAAATTAGGCTTTGGACATATGATTAAATTCTTGCACTTATATCCTTATTACGCGTTGTGCTAACAGCACTCATAAACACTTGTGTGGTGTAGTTGATACGTCTCAGATGTTCTTCCTCGCCACACGCCTTCCTCAAGCAACTAATGAGTTCTTCTGTCTCCACCTTCTTCTTAATTGAAATCGATTATCAACATCTTTTTCCTCAACATCATCACTCCGGTGCACATCAAAGCAGTTGGCACGTCGTTTATAACATTTTTTACCTCGAATTTTCAAAAATTTTATAAATTATTTAAAGGAAGTTACGTAAAAAGAATGAATTTTACTTAGTTTTTATCAAACATTGCAATTATTGACTCTATCTATATAGCGATATGTCTATGATGGTAAAAATGCCAGAGGTAATATGCAATCCAATATGAGATGAACATCTGGAACGTTTTAAAATTAACTCTAAATGTAGCAAAACTATTGATTATTCAAATTATATACTGAATGGTAAATTTATAATTAATTATAATAAATGAATAAAACAAATTACTTGAAGAAAAAAAATTAAATTATACAATCTTAGCGAAAAGATTTCAGTAAAGAAAATCATATTTTTAATTTTTGAGAAACATTTCAGGATTG